TAAGACAAGGAAGGCGCAGTGAGTTGCTCTCCTCGAAGTTATCGTTAGCTATGTTGATGAAAAGCAAAAAAAGTTTATTTAAGATGATTGATAGAGTGAACGTTCGTTTTGGAGTGAATATTCGTTTTAAAATTAACAGGCATCTCCTTGCCCCATTTAACAACAATCTGTATATTTATTCAATTGTTAAAGTTTACACCACAGTTGCTTTCTACTTTATATTGAATGCCTTTGTTTTTACAGTTCACGGATTTTCCATCGCGATTCCACGACTTTTAAGAAAACGAATAAACAAAACAACATTTAAACTGTACCGTGTCTGAGAAAGAGTAGGCACGGTGGAATAATGGCTAGCAGTTCGGACTGAGGAATTGGCAGAGCCGAGTTCGAATTCCAGTCGAATCTATTACGTTTTATCGACAAAATTGTGTTATTATAAAGGAGAAAGCTCAAACGGTTTTTAATACATGTCTATATCTCTGAGATTATATATTATGGTTACTTATATTATTTACATTATTCGGACTGTTATCCTCATCTTCATTGCCATATTTACAATGTTTTGGCCGTTGTACGCCCCAGCCTTCTTCAGGGGGTTGGTATTTCGAACCGAACCATTTATTGCGTCCTCAAGGACATATGGCCTAGTGGATAAAGAGGTTGGATGAAGCAAAAGAGAGTTGAGCTAAAGGGGAAATAACTGAGACTTCCGGAAGAGGACAATCTACCCCGGTGGACGAAATAAAGGGTTCGTACCGAAATTTCAATCACCTGAAGAAGGCCGGAGCGTACAATGGCTGAAACGTTGGGGATATGGCAATGAAGAGGGAGTGTCACTAGTACGCAAAAGGTACGAAAGTGATAGCAGGAGTAAAGTCGGTGTTTGAGGAAAGAATATAGCGTATGGCGGGGATCAGGATCAAGTCATCAGATGTCGATTGATATTATATTTGAATATTTGAAGATTATATCTATCAGGGAAGCAAGTCACTGACGGGATAAGAAGCTGTTGAAGTAGAAGAGACTGCTACATTTAACCGTTTCGACAGTGAAAGAGTAGGACCGAGATGCCAACCTGGTAGCACGCTTAAATTCATTCAGGTTTGGGTACGAGAGAAAGTAGCTCGTCGGAGCAGTTGCCATAAAATTACTTAAATTAAAAAAGACAGAGGGAAGCCACAGCACGTCTGTGAGAGAGTGTCTGTAGACGAGATGCCAGACTAGGACCTATCACATTGCATATTCGTCTCTGGATTTTGTCTAGGTCCTCGAGATGAACAGCGGCGACACCAGACTATATATGGTAGCGGTACTCAATGCAAGGACGAATGGTTGATTTGTAGATTTGAAGGATGGACTCAGGCGAGAAAAAAACCTTCTGGAGTGACACAGAGAACCCCAACTTTCCTTGCGGAAGTTGTTGATTCAATGTAGTTGTGTCCAATTCAGGTCAGTGGAAAGCGTGAAACCAAGAAGGCGCAGAGAGGCGCTCTCGTGGAGTGGGGCATCAGCCATTCTAATCAGCGACAGGGAGAGTTCTCTATGGTGGTTAATGAGAGCAGTTTCGTTTTGGAGGCATTAAAGTTCGCAAGCCATTTTCATTTTCGAGACCAACAGCCAGGTTACTTTTGACAGTGATGTTGGATGTACTACTGAAGCAGTAGTAAATAGTAGTGTCGTCTGCGTAGATGCCTACTTGGGAATTAATGACATCAAGAAGATCGTTGATGAAAATCAGAAACAGTGTAGGATTCAGAATAGAGCATTGGGGAACACCAGCGTCCGTATGAAAGGAAAAATGTTTAAAATAAAATTATACACACTGTCGTTTTCAGAAAAAAAAGATTTTACATGTGTAATACATTATTACAAGAATTATTTTCATTTTTTTATGTTAATGAGAATAAATTTTATACTTGTATTAATTTATATTCGGTTAAGTGATATTGTTATTAAATTAAAACTGAATTTACTAATCATAAATGGAAAAGCTTAATGCAATTCAACAGCCTCAGTATTTTCTAAATAATTTTCAATTAATTTTATGTTTGTATAAACGTGACGAGTTTTGTTAATTGACATACATTCACTACATTTTCAGAAACTAAAAGCGATGAATTTAAGATTAATTGGTAATTTTCTAACATTCCCTCAAAAGAATATTCGCAAAATAAGGCCAAATATCTAAAATACGACAAAATATTGGATTGTTAACAATATTTTCTTAAAGTTTTAAAATTACTGATTAGTCATAAAAAGGTGTTCACATTGTATTTGTCAAGTGATTTTTGCAGTTACGTACCCTTTACTTAAATTTGAAAAACAACAGGCTACCGATAAGTCTGACAACATCTCATAAAAACAAGCACTCTATGTTAGAAAGATACGATATTTTAAACTAAAAGTAATATTTGTTTCAATTCTGATTAATTAAATTTTAAATCAGCTAACTTTCTCAACATTTCAGAAAAATATATTTTTATTTTTTAATTATTCTTCTGTTGACAGATTTGTCAGTAGAGACGATTTTATAGATTTTACTGATAACCAGGAAAAAAAAATAATTCCAATAAATTTAAATCGGTCGAGGGGCCCAGGCTATAAAAGTAACTGTACGGTTTCACTCCTGGAAGCTGACTGACGGACTTTCTAAGTGACTAAGCGGCCATTATGTTACCCATGTGACTACATCTCGACCAAAAAGGAGATGATCGCCTTTAGCATTCCTACACGCAGTGTAATGATTATAAGCGCAAAAAGTGGGTTCAGCTATCAGTCGTTGTCGTTTTTTTTGCTCATGATTTTCTTTCAAGAGGTGTTTCGGTTTTGAGTTATTGTCAGAGGGCTGAGTCTCGCCCGGGGAGGTAGACAGACCCAAACCCGTTTATGCGGATTCTATGGGGATTTTTTGGCCGAGCTTACAAGTTCGGATGACTCACGTTAAACTCGGCCTTGTGCCACATCTACCCTCATGTGTGTGGAGGGGTGGTGGTAGCAACTAAATATTAACAGTCGAATAGATTGAACGCTGGGTCAACCGACACACACTCGCTAGTCGTGTAATAATCTACTATTGTACTTACTGTTTAATATATATATATATCTGCAACACTTGTTTTGTTATTTCATTAACCATTTACTTGGTCACAACAATCCATTAGCTTATTAATTTTAGTACATCATTTTAAAAAATCAATTCACCCCAAGCAAGGTGATAATGGCATGAAGACGCAAGGGGCTATTGAGAATGAAAAAAAAAAGAAGACTTTAGAAGGAACTGGTAACCCAGTCCTAAACAGGAAACAAGAGATAAACCTTTACTCCTGTTCCAAACACTGGGGCCGAGTGTGAAGCCGACGATCTACCTAACACTCTTGTTCGATACAGTCTTCAAACCTTGAAGTTATTTAGATGGAGTATTTCCCTAGTATTTTATGCTGATTTTTAACCAGTTCAATATTGCTTTTTTTATCTCAACAATATGGGTCGATTCATGCTTCGACCACTAGAATGGACAGTGCAAAATCATCTTTTCTGACCGAAGTTTTGATTTCAAGAGAAAAACGGGTTTCTCTAATCCTGGAATGGTCAACCACTATAGAAGCCGGAAAATATTGTATTCAAAGTTTAATATTGTTGTTTTATATCAAAACACTTCAGGTTCATTCACTGCATTAAGAGACGTGAATTGCAATCGCGCATTCTGTATGGCTTTCTTGGACGTTGCTTTAATCGAAGTGGCCACAAAAGCTTAGTCGCTTAGTAGTTCTGAATCAGACGACTTTCCCTCGTTTATTCTCCACATTTGATACCTCTTCATCGTAGAGTTCGTCATTTTCTAATTGAATTTTCAATATGATGAAAATATTAGCTACTCAAAAGTTTTATTAGAAACGAAAAGGAGAACATCTTTCGTAGACGATTGGATTGCTAGTTCATCTCGCAGACTGTTGATAGTATTAACTTTTAGCCTAAATAGACGTCGCTTTTTTGTAGACTTAGTTTTTGAATGGGAGCCTGCGATAAATTTATGGCTGACAAGTTCGGCTCGTACACGAGACTTTTGTCAGTTCAAGCAGCGCTGTTTGGTCGACTTTTTCGACAGTGTGAAAAATTAACTCAATACTTACCCAAGTATCTACAATTGTATGAAAAACACATGAGTTTGTGTAGTTGTTTTTATAGCTTGAACACCTTTCCCTCTCTTCTCTGTCTTCTGGAAAACTATTCGTTCAATAATCTTTATTTTCTTGAGTAATGAAAATCCATTATTTTTCAAAAACTGCTTTTTATTTTTAAATTTTCTCAGTCAATTCTTTTCGTTTTTTGTCTATTACTCTTTATTTATTTTCTTTCTTTCTTTCTTTCTTTCTATTCACGTCCATTTTTATCTTTGTTTTTTTCCGTATTATATTTATCTATTTCTTTCTTTCTTTCTTTTGCATATATTCTTTTTTCTTTTTCTTTCTTTCTTTCTTTCTTTCTTTCTTTCTTTCTTTCTTTCTTTCTTTTTATTCACGTCCATTTTTATCTCTGTTTTTTTTCCGTATTATATTTATCTTTCCCTTTCTTTCTTTCTTTCTTTCTTTTATTATTCTTCTGGTCTACTTTTCATTCTCTATTTAAGCTCTCTTTCTTTGATTTATTATTTCTTTTTTCTTCTTTCTTTTATTCACGTCTGCGTTCTTTTTTTCTTTTACGATTCATTTCTTTTTCCGTTTACTTTATTTTTCTTTGCGTTTCTTTGCTTCTTTATTTTGTTATTTCAATCACTTGATGTTATTTCTGTCATCTCTTCCTTCGCTCTTTCTTTCATTATTTCTCCTTCATTGTTCTTTCCTCCTCCTTCTTCTTCTTCTTCTTTCTTTCCGTATTTTCCTCCTCAATCTTAACCTCCCCACCCGCACCTCTCTCAAGATTCCTTTGCTTTCTTTCTTTTTTGATCTTTCTTTCTTTCTTTTTTTTTCTGCGAGCAACATAATTCAGATCTCCTCATCCCTATGTTATTTTTTTCTTCTTCCGTTTGTCTAACCTGTCGACCCTTATGCAAAGATTTTTTCTTCCATTCTTCTTTTTTCTTACCGTTCTTGATATTTCTCGGAGCGATTACTTTCACTAAAGGTTATCACCACAAAGCGATAATCATGGAAATATGAGAATAGCGTAAACGCCATGAGGAATGTGAGAAACAAACATCAAAATGCCCAAAATAACCAACCCTCACCTGTTCTCTAGTTAATGGAGATGAAAGCTGACCGTATAGGTCAACATGGCTGCTGGTACGCATCTTAATGGTCTGACATTGCAGTTAAGGGACGCAGCCGATCCCTATGCATTATTCTGATTGGAGTGTTCGTATGTTTTTGCACATACGTGTTGGTACATATCTTTTTATAACACACCATTTTTTTCTCTTTCCTTAAGAGGATTTCTTCATTTACTTGCTTGTTTTTCTTTCACTTTTTTCTTTATTTCCCTTCTTTCTTTCACCACATGTTGCCTATTTCTTTCTTTCTTTCGCCACATGTTACACTTTTCCTTCATTCTTTCTTGTGATCAATTCACTTCTTTCCTTCTTTTCTTTAGATCAAACGTTTCTTCCGTTCTTGCTCTCATTACTTTTTATTTTGATGGCTACATGTTAAATCTTTCTTTATCTTTTGATAACCACATGTTGTAACTTTCTGTCTTTCTTTCTTTCTTTGTTTTTTTGTTTCTTTCTTTCTTTCGATCGCTACAACTCGTTTTTTCGGATGATCACGTTCCTTCTTTTTTTTTCTTTTAAGTTCCATATTTATTTCTTTTAACTGCAACACATTGCTTTTTCTTTCTTTCTTTCTTTCTTCATTATTTTCTCCTTTTATTCCTAGGAATCATTTTTCATTCTTACTTAAATTCTTTCTTTCTTTCTTTCTTCTTAGTTCATAATTTTCCTCTTTTTCTTTTATTTTCACGAATTATTTTAATTCTCTACTTTCTTTCATTATTTCTTCTCAGTTCATTTTTTATTTTCTTCTCACGAGTCATTTTTCATTCTTTCTTTCTTTCTTAACTCATTTTCTCTTTTTCCTTTTATTCTCATTTTTCTCTTTCTTACTTTCTTTCTTTATTCATAATTTTTTTATTATTTATTTTATTCGCACCAGTCATTTTCTTTCTTTTTTCTTTTTTTATTACTTTTTCTTCTTAGTTCATTATTTTCTCTTTTATATTCTCACAAATAATTTTTCTTTCTTTCTTATTCCCTTTCTTTCTCTCTTCATTTTCTCTTTTCTTTTTTATTTACACGAATCATTTTTTTTTCTTAATTTTATTCATTCTTTCTTACTTTTTTGTCAGTTCATCATTTTTTAATTTTTTTTCTTACGAGTCATTTTCTTTCTTTCTTACCTTCTTTCCTTTATTTCTTTCTTGCTTTTGATGGCTACACCTCGTTTTTTTTTTTTTACGATGATCACGTTCCCTATTTTTCTTTCATTTTCCTTTTTTTCCATACTTATTTCTTTTAGCTGCAACACATTGCTTTTTCTTTCTTTCATTATTTTCTTCTTTTATTCCTAGCAATCTAGCCTCTAGTGGCCCGATGGCGGGCCGTTGATGGCAACGTCAGAGGTCCTCTGGCGGTAGCCACCGGTGGGCCTCTAGCATTACCGAGACGAACACGCTGGCGGTCTGACAGCGGGCTACCGGTGGTAAATGCTAGTGACATACCGTCCAGTGGCAGATTGGTGGCTTGCGTGTAGGGTACGGACATGGAGCAGTCCGGAAAGAAATAGGTAAAATCAGATCAATGGAAGATTCAGAAATGCAGTTTACACTAAAAACTATTCAAGTTCATCCTGCAGAGGGATCCAGCTTCCAGTCATATGCAACCTAAGAATAAAATTACGGAAATTAAAGAAGACTAAAATAACACCTAAGCGACAATACAACAGGCTCCTCAGTGGACCACTGTTATAGTGGAACACACCTATTCTATAGAGTGTCTATATTTCTGAGATAAGGTATTATGTACATTATTTACATTATTCGGACTACTGTCCTCATCTTTGTCGCCATATTTATCACAACGTTTCGGCCGTTGTACGCTCCGGCCTTCTTCAGGTGATTGGAATTTCGAACTGAACCCTTTATTTCGCTCACTGGAGTAGACTGTTCTAGTTCCACGTGCCATGTTTGATGGATGTCAGTTATCTCCTGCTAATTTCCCTCTGAAAGTTCTCCACTGCCTTAACTAGGTATTGAACTCGCACTCTTTGGGTCCTGTCACTGGATCTAACCAACGCCTTTATTCACTGTGCCATGTGTCCTTGAGATAAGTTTAAAATCTCTTTTGAAGTTCTCATTTTATCTCCGAACTAAAAAACCAACTAGCGATCACCCGGCTGAGAGAAGAAACAGATGAAGACAACTTTGTTTTGATCGCCCGTTAACCAATACCCACTTCCAACAAGGAAGAGTATATATCACTATTTCACAACGAGAGAGAAAACATGCAATACACAACATTGTGGAAAAATCTGAAATATTAAGACCTGAAGTAAAGTTCAGCAATGGCGAAGATGAGCATAATAACTGGACCAGATGGGATAGTAGAAATGATTTCGGCATCGAAATGGTTAAGGAAATAAACAAAATATACGACAGTGGTGAAATACAGGAAAACTGCTTGAACTGTTAGGAAAATAACAAGAGAACTTGGCGCTGTCTAAGAGATCATTGGTCAAAGGAATCTCCATCGGCCAATCAGCTTAATGAAACCCAAAATCAATCTTTAAATCTGAATTCTGCGGGGTAGAGCGAGAAGTAGAAAAAACGAAAAAGAGCGCTAAGAAAGAAAGAAAGAAAGATATAAGTGCCGGTGTCTCCCAGGGCTCTATCTTCGAACCTACTTTGTTCTTAATTTTCGTCAATGACCTTCCTGATGACATCAGCTCACAACTTGGTATCAATGCTGATGACAACCATTTGGATCTGTTTCGATAGGGTTGTGGCCTGTTTAGGGGCCAGAAAGAAAGACACGGAAGACAAATGTACGTTGAAAAAGTATATTGAAGATATATACAAAACAATAGTGTTAGTAATAAGTAGATTAGCACTGCGTTTACTACTCCACTCCACTTCCCGACTCTCGCAGTTTGTATTTATGAGAGAAGGAAGAGTTCATTATACTGTAAGAGAGTTTACCACAACCCCCCCTCTAAAATCTTAACTCCGCAGGAGTCTGGAGAAATTTTTTTTTTTCACATGTTCCCGTAAAAAAAGTTTACCAACTTTTTAGTGGTTTTCCTCAGCCTGACTTGTTTTACATTATTTAAAAAAAAAAAAAAAAAAGTGTTTCCTTTTGACATCTGGCTTGGAATTTAAAACTTGACCGACTTGTTTTGCCAAGTTCAACATAGAACAAGCTTGCGAACTTTTGTTTGTGGTCTTTTTTTTTCGGTACGGTTTTTTGCTGCTGTTTCCTCCAGAAACTAAAACCTTTTCTCCCTTTCACTGGTCCATTTTTTTTTTTTTTTTTTTTTTTTTACAGTCTAACAATGTTTTTCTGATCAGAGTTTGCTGAAACTGATGCAACTTTCTTGCTCTATTTAGAGATAGAGGCCTGTGTTCCTTGAGCCAGTATCTTTGCTTTGGCTCCTTTGCCTCTAACAAAAACTTCCCTCTTTTTCATCTTGTCAACATGAAACACTTCTGTCTTTACCTTTGCTGATTTCTTCAGCTTCACTTTCTTAGCAGCTAATTTTTTAGCCTTTTCAGATGAAACTGTTTCTACGTTCGATAGATCTCCAGTTCTTACTACTATTGCGAATTACTCGTTAATTTGTTCCAACGAGGCAAAAGGCACATTTCACATCTTTTTTAACACTGGCTGGACGTTGTCTTGTAGTTTTATTTTTTCGCGGTAAGAATTTATAGGCAAGTCCCAAAGAGGTTGTTAGTGTGAGTATTTTTCAGTACGAAAAATTTTGATTTAAGAGTCTTCCCATTGAACGTTATATTTGTAATTAATTCTCCTTCGAATTTAATTTTTTCTCCTGTTACTGATCTTGCAAGATTTTATCATGGTTGGCTTACCCAATCTTTTCCATGATTGCAAGATTATTATAGTTAAGTCAGAACCCGATTCTAGTTGAAATTCTACATTTTGTTTAACATTTTTACATGCACGAATTTCCTGATATTAGCACCGTCTCCTTCATCCGACCTTGTATCTTTTTTTGCAGCTATTGGTTTTATTTTTAGATCGGCAATGCGAACTTTTGTGCCCAACTCGGTTACAAATGTAACATTTTTTATTCCGGAACATACAATCTTTGTACCAATGTAGGGCCCCACATCTATAGCATGGGTTATGGGGCTGTTGTGAATATGGATTATCTCTTTGATAATCCAAGCTATAAAAGCTGTACATTTCCGCTTGTCAAGTAGACGAGTAGTAAGATTCTTAATTGAGTAAAAGATTAGACAGAATCTCTTGTCCGGTTTTCATTACAGGGGCAACTTATGTTTTTTTCTTTGTTTCAGTTTTAGGTGACTTTGTTTGTTTCTGTTTGTAGCGTATTTTTTTGACGTGAGCAATACTAGATTCTTCAATATTTTTAGAATTCTTCTTTAAACTGATGTACCTCTGACATTCTTCAGTGATCTGATGTAGAGTTATAGTCGGCTCATTCTCCAATTTCTTTAGTATTCTTCGCCTAATTTCTGCATCTTTTGCTGAAACTAGTCCTTGCACGAATATCAAGCAATTTGAAGTTATTCGCACTTAGCTCCGCCAGTCTAAAATCATCGGAGTTCTTGAAGCAAAAGTCGTGTAGTCATCCCATTCTTTCCTAGTTATATTAAGACATTTCCATCTCTTATGGAGACGTCTTTGGACTGAAGAGCTCCGTTAGTAATTCTACGGCTTCGGTGAATGTTAATTCGCTAGTCTTACGGGGCAGAATGTAGTTAACGATTTTTGTGCGCTCAGATGTGCCAAGTTTCCTCAGAAGAAGACGTACTTTTTTTCGAGTCACTCCAATTCGCACAATCTGACGTATAAAAGTCCTCATACCTCCTAAAGTATGATGCAAAGGTTATTTCTTCCTCAGGATTGTATGAAAAATTATTTATCGCACTCCAAATAGTGTTTTGCGAAAAGGAAAATTCGTTTTCAATGGGATTACTACAGTTTGTCAATTCTAACACTTGCTTTTGAAATTCAAGCTCTCTCTTGATTTTCCTTTTGAAGTTCGAGCTGTCTCTCTCGATTTTCCTTCTGGGTTTGCAGTAATACATTTTCCACTTTTTCCTGTTGAGAGAGCAATTGTTTTTGCCACTTCTCTTCCATTTTTTCTTGGAGTTGTAATTGTTGTGCATTCTGGTATTTTACAAGTTCTTATAAAATACTTTTGAAATCCTTCATGATAAGTGTGTCTTTTACGAAAAAATTCGATTTTCCTTTTAATCACGGTGGTTCACGCAAAATCCTCGTAAATCTTCGTCACCAAGTTGTTGTGGACCCTGGCAAAGGCAATTTTTTTTGGTCCCCGTGGCCAAGTTGTTGTGGCCTGTTTAGGGGCCAGAAAGAAAGACATGGAAGACGAAGGTAGGTTGAAAAAAGTATATTGAAAATATATACAAAACAATAGTGTTAGTAATAAGGAGATTAGCGTTGCGTCTACTACTCCACTCTCTGAGCTCCTGTCCGACTCTTGCAGTTTGTATTTATGAGAGAAGGAAGAGTTCATTATATTTTAGGAGGGTTTATCACAACAGATAGTAAGTCTGATCAGTCGCGATAAGGTCACATTGGCAGCTAATCTAAAAAATGACCTACATCTGTTGTTAACTGGAGCAATAAATGGTTTGTTAATTTTAACGCCTTCAAAACGAAACTGTTTTCTATCAATCACTTCAAAGACCCTTTTCAACCTTATATCAGCATGGCCGATGCTAATCTCAATGAGATCGACTCGTTGCACTTTTTCGAGTTAACATTCTTGGCGGACATGAAATGGAAGGACTATATAGAATCAATTCTTAGGTCTGCTGCTAGGAATGTTGGTTCGCTCTATCGTAACAGACAATTTTTCTCTCCAGAATATATCTTACATATATATATGTCTACCATTCGAGTATGCTTTGAATATTGCTGCCACATATGGTCCGGTGACCTGATATATATGTAGAGATTCCAGATAAAATCCAAAGATCAATCAGTGATATTTTTTATGCTAACCTGGCATCTCAGTTTCAGTGACTTTCCCACCACCGCAATGTAACTTTTCTGGGCGTTTGTTTATGGTTTCGTTTGGTTTGTTTTATGGCATATCAACCTCAATTGGTTATTTAATGCCGGCAAAATTTTTATTGCTGGTAATATATATATAATCGTGCAACTTTCGGATAATAAGTGTGACATTACTGTAATTATTGAACAATATAGTTCATGCCACATTGACGGAAAACCTACCAGTAAAAAAGAATTCTCTTATTACTAAATTTTTACAAAAAACGCACAACCTTAAAATTTAAATTCAAACTCAGCGTTGCGACCGCACATTCCAAAACAA